ATAAATTTTATGCTGAGGGGAAACAAACAACGAGTGAAATGACGATGTCTCAAGAGTCTGAATTTAATGTAACCACAAAGCTTTAAAAACCATACATTTTATTCTCCATTCCTACTCAAGTTACAACCTGTTAGGGTCGATACGATCGATAAATTAATCGTCCTCGTCAATCAGTCATCTCCTTAAAAGCTACATAATTTTATTTGGTCGATTAATTGGTCAACATGAACTACAACAGTAGCCGATCCCAGTTGCCGCAGGGTCTAAGGCAATGTCTTCGCTCGCAAGGCCACTGTGATCGTGGGTTCGAATTCCATTCAAGGTATGGATGTCTGTGTGTGCGTTTATTGTTTCTGCTGTTCTGCGTCTAAGTAGCGGCTTTCGAAGGGCTGATCCCCAGTCAAAGGAGTCTTACCGACTATGTACAAGATTAAGAAATTGAAAAAGCGCTCAAGGCCCAACAAAAGGACGTAGACCCATAGATAGATAACTACAATAGGCGTTTCAGTTTCGAAGTTTCTGAACCTCATGGTGCATCCATCCAGCGTTTCACATTCCCAGTATTGTAGTCAAACAGGACAGTGTACTTCTGACGTTACATGTTCAGATTTCTCGCAACAGATAATAAACTAAAACAAAAAATAGAAAACAAACGCGCAGCATGCGGACTGATAATACAGAAACGCTCATAACTCTGTATACAAGCCACAGTACAGGTCTCCACTGGTTCCGGTTAAGGTCTTACCACCGTGAAACCTCACACACCGTAGGCCAACAGGCTTCTGAGCTTGTTCACCGAAATAAAAACGTGGTTCTGTTGCATCGTATCCGCATTTTATATCATATGTTACATACTGTAGGCCTATAGACTCAAGTAACACCTTCTGAGACAATAAATATGGCGCTGTGATATAGTCTTTCGCCAAAGGATACAGAATATCTAAATTACATACTCATTACAGATAAGGTACGCGTATTTGATAATAATGTAAAGCAGGCGTATTTGTCTAGGCTAATTTTCTGAAAGGATGCAATATACAGGGAGAATTTTTACTTTGTTGACCGGTTCCACTGTTCTGCGCTTCATGGAGGCCGGTATGTTGCTTGCCGAGAGGCGCATACGAATTTTGCCGATGAACCAGCATGCCTGAAGGCATATAACGTCCGGAATGAAGGTAAATCCTTCCCTTTGCGTATTTATGTATTCCTGCAAGTGAAACCACGCTTCATCAGAAAATAATGTCAAATGCGGATCGATTGACTGTAGAAACCAACTGCAAAAATTATCCTGCTAGCTGGATCGCGCGGCTGCAAGGAGTGGATTACTGTTGTTTTATACGGTCTAAGCTTCAGCAATTGTGTTCCCGTTCCTGCACTAAACTCTGACACTCCAGTCTCCTGAGCTACACATTTCTGTGATTTTCTAGGTGTATGTTCAAGACTAGCCTCTATGTCGTCTAACTTCTCAGTAAGCACTCAGAGCTTATGTTTCTGTTTCTTATCTATTAAGAGTCCCACTGTTCTAAGTTTATTCACCAAAGTGTGAATTGTTTGTCTGCTGGTAACTGTTTCGTCATGAAATTTACGTCGAAATATTCGCCGACACTTTCTAGCAGATCCGTATTTTACGCAGGTGACACACACAAATATACATCACTATAAAGTATACCGTAAAATGGCGTACCACGCTGCGCACTAACTGTAGCTAAGAACAAATGGCTAATGGAGCTGATAACTGCTGCCTATTGCTGACAAATTATAAACAAACACCCATGCATGAACCGCACAGCTCGCCGTGAAACATAAGGCCGTAAAGCGGTCCACAAGTTAATTACTTCCATTCATTCCAAAACGTTATCGGCCATCAGGCATGCTGATTCATCGGCAAAATTCGTATGCGCCTCGCGACAAGCGGCGCCCCGGTCGCAGTAAAGCGCAGAGCCGTGGAACCGGTCAATAAACTTAAAAAGAAACTTTGTGTATTATAAAGCGTTGCTGAGCGTTAATCAGTACTAACATTTTTTAATCAGACAGGCACCTTTATAAAATGGACAAAACGTTAAGAAAATTATGCACAGTTCAGTAAGTCATCTATCAGTTCAACTGCAACACGTCTTAGATATGTAAGATTTGAGGCTTTCACGGCGGTGACTATGAAGAAAGCAGTCTTCTGGGATTTGGCACCGTGTATATGTGGTGTTAACCGACGTTTCGGAGGAACGTATCGCCCCCATCNGTCTCAATTTCTAACTAAAAACGAGAGGACAGGAGATATCCAAAGTTAATTAAAGAACACATTTTCGTCACAAACCTTTATACCTACCACGTATAGTTGCTGGACTGTTCGTACGTTACCGAGAGAGGCAGGATGCAGTGAACTGTAATTATACTGGTTCAGTGCAGTCTGTTACAGCGAATTACTAAAAGATTTTAAGTTAGTTCGCGGGACTGGAATGTTTATGGAGGCCTATATTCTGTTATGCTTTTTTATTTGGGATGGAAGATTCAAGTGACTCCAGGCGCGAATAGCCTCAGCAGTCCAAGCGCATATGGACCCATTACTGCTACTATTTCAAGTGACTCTGAATATCACCTTGTGAACACGGTAATGTTAAAATTACATCCATCTCTCACCCACATTTCACGGTGTTACTTTAATTAATCGGCTACCAGAAATCACTTATCTTGAAACAACGACAAACTTTAAGCATGAAACAGTAGAAACTAGTATACTCGTCTCTGGGCGACGTGAAGGGACTGGTCACTATAACTGCGATAAAGGCAGCGCGGAAACTTCTTTGTTGCCGGGTTTGATGAAGCTCATCTGAACACAAGGGACTGTTGGGAGAGATGACGACAAGAAGGCGGAACACTTTGATGTGAATCTCAGCGGGACGGCGCTAGGAGACCCGACACGACCTGAGGCAGGCCTGCCCCCTGCCGACTGATCGCAACTCGCCAAACTATTGATGAATTAGTTTCCTGTTGCCACTACTACTCAGGTAAGATACATGGGCACCCCGGGGAACTCCCTTACTCAATCCAATTTCGAATTAATTTACGACCAACCTTGTGGATTAGTTTGATGATGCTTCAGATTTCAAGGTAACAGCTTATAAATGGAAACAACAAAACAAGCAAATCTTTAATACTGCTTCCACCATTACGAACATTCTAGTTCCACTATTCTGTTTAAATTAGTAACCGCCACCGTCTGTGAACACACAACATTGAAATTTCAAGCCCCATAAACAGGGTACGTCCCAGAAGACTGCTTTCTTCATAGTCACCGCCGTGAAAACAGAGTACATACACGTCTTTACACATTACAGTATGTCACGTGACAGTAGAATGGGCGGCTGATGTACGCGTCTTTCGGCTGTCGTAGCTCTCAGCTCCCTACGGCAGATCTTACTCAGAGAACAGAGCTCATCTTCTGAACCTGACAGTTTCAAAGCTGGTCAAGTAATTCACTGTCTTCTATGTAACCCGAAGGTTCCATATGGTTCCGTTAATAGACACATAAGACGAATCTACGAGCAGTTAACTCCCTCAGAGATTTATTACTTTAAGATAAATTTTAATATTATCATTGCATCTGCGCCTACTTCGCCCAAATGGTCTCACGAGGTAAGACTTCCGACAAGTATTCGGAACATGCCAGGTTCGAATCTAGACCGCAACATGCATCCTGAAGTATTTCATCGATTTCCTTAATCCCGCCATGAAAATTCCAACACAGCAGCTTACATTAGACCACAACCACTTCTTTCTATATCCTTTCCAACCTATTAGTCACTACTATCCAATCAATCGACGATACATACTTAGGAATTACTGAAAGCGATATTAAACAAACTACGAGTAGAAATCTTCCCTTCGGGTTTCACAACTAAAATTTCGCACGCATTCTACATATCCCGTACGTCTCAGCTTTCTTGGTTTAATCACCCTATTGATGCCTGGGCGAAAAGTATAAATGCTGAAATTCCTCATACAAAATTTGCTTTGCTGCTATCACTTCTTTTCTTTTAGATCCAAATACTCCATTTATGACCCTGTTCTCAAATACCTATGATGATCTGTCTGTATTTCTACAGAGAAAAGGTAAAGTTATCCTTGTAACAGGCAATGGAGGCCAACAGGGTTGTAAGAGGTGGAGGATCCGAAATTCTTCTAGTCAATCTGCTCATAGATGGCGGTAAGGTTTCAGTCCTACGCGCCGGCTGGCCTTTACACCCAGGAAGATTCCTGGTATTCATTTAAGTCAGAGGCTGAGTCGACCCCAGGGCCACAATGCGGCTGGAAGGATTAGGTCAAATGAAAAATGCAGTGACCTCACCGGGAATCGAACTCGCGACATTCCAACTTGGAGCATAAGGTCTCTTATCAACTAAGCTACCGCGTGTCCCATATTTATACGACAGAATATTATTTTTATCCTTATTAGTCAATTATGACTGATATTACTCGAACGACGCGAAAAGCCCCATAAATATCTTAAATGTACACCACAGTATCGATAAAACGTAGCCCAAACAAGGGACTGCAAATTTTGGGAGGAAAAGAAATAGGCTATAACCTTCAAACCACCTTACGGGGCTTGGATGGCACATTTGAGATTTCATATGCAGAAGTACCTGACAAAAAAAAACTCCATGGTTTTAGTCCGCAAGCGAACTATACTGAATGAGCGACCACAGTTTGTTGGCGAATTTAGTGCCAACTTTAGCGGACAGAGAGCGTCGCGTGGTCAGCGAAACGAATCCCCACGACTGTTAATATCGGTTTTCTAAACCGGAGCCGCTATTTCCTTGAAACAGCTCCTAAATTGTCCTCACGAGGCTGAGTGTACCCCGTTCCAGACGCATTACTTCTCAGAAAATCTGGTAGTGCCGGGAATCGAACCCCGGAACTCGGGATCTGTAGCCAGGAACTCTTGACCACGAGACAACAGAGGCGGTCAGAAGTACCTGACACAACTGATTAAGTTCACTTACCTGAAGGGGAATCCCTTTATGACGTTATACGACATGTTGGAAGTGATAGCGAAGAGATCGAGAGCAACGCTCAGAAAGCTGATACCTTCTGCAGTTTTGTTCTGCAGTATTTTGGTGATCTGAGGCACTTTCACTGCAAAACAAAAAAAAACTAAGATTATACATACAGACACAATATAACAGACTAACTAGATGCGAAAGCGGCCTCCGTAGTCTAGGGCTAACGTTCCCACCTCGTGACTCAAGGTACGCGGGTTCAAACCCGGCGGAGATCGTTGAATTCTTAAGGGCGGAAAAATTCAGGGAACAAGTCCTCCGGGAGGGACTTTAAGCCGTGGGTCCCGTGTCGTAGCTTTACGGCACGTAAAAGAACCTCATATCTCCAAAGGAGGCCACTGAGCAAAATTACGGACGTTTCCCGCCCAAAAGTAGTCTCTAACACCTCTGGTAGATGGGGGAAGCATTAAAGATACCGCTCAGCTAGTAGAGGCCGATCTCGCTGGCTGGGCGGGACTGATGGCAAGCACCAGTACCGGTAGGATATAGAGACTGGTAGAATATCATAGAGGGAAGCACAATGGACCAAGGCATGTCTAAGTACATGGGAAAACCCACCCTCTCCAATAACTAACTAACTAACTAGATGCGAAGGAAACCGAAAATGTCAGAATGTTTTCAGAGATACGAGCGGTCAGTCTCGTTATGTCATGAAAGTGACATCCATATGCGCGTCACAATCCATTTGTAAACAACATGAAGGCCCTGCGCCTATGTATCGCATGTCAGCCAAAGCGGCTGACCAGTAATGTCAGGAAATAAGAAAAAGATCGAAATTAATTTTGAACCAGAGAAGTTTCAGGAGCGGGGATGGCATAGTCGGTATAGCGACTGGCTACGGGCTGGACGACCGAGGCATCGGAGTTCGAGTACCGATGAGGGCAAGAATTTTCACTTCTCCATATCGTCCAGGCCGACTCTTGGACCCATCGATCGCCTATCCAACGGGTACCGGGTGCTATTTCCCCGGGGGTAAAGCAGCCACAGCTGAAGCTGACCACTCACCTCGAGCTAATGCCAAGGTGAAAAAAATGTGGAACTATACATCGACTCCCCCATACGCCATCATGGCGTAATTCTTAATTAATTAAACACAGGAGCAACTTTAATTTTTTTTATCAGACAGGTTTGGACCTTGGCTTGGTTTACCGATATACGGGCGGCCGGCGCGTAAGGCTGACAAACTCACCGTCATCTGTGAGCCGACTGTTTAGAAAATGTGGAAGCCTCGGCGTCTCATAACCCGTTGGGTCTCCAAGGCCTGTTATAGGGATAGCTTTACATTTTTACCTGATATTTAATGGTCTTCTCCAGTTTCTGCGTCAAACGCCGTGAAAGTAGGTCTAGCCTGAAATTACCCAACACTGCACTTCTCTATATCTTCACTTGTTCAGACTTCACATCTCATTCAAGGCTTTAGTATCTCTATTGTTGGAACAGCATTATTAAATAACCAAAGAATAACCACCACCTTCCATCTTTCTCTGTATTCGTTTCGACAGCCTCAGCAAATGAAGGGTAACCTCTTGCAGCAGAGGCTGCTCATTCCAAGACTCGAATAAGTTAAGCTCTGAACATAGACTCGCTGTACTAGAGACAACCCCTTCTGCACATTCCGACTGAAAACTATTGGAGAATTTTCTGGATTTCAGGTTCTCACAGCAGTGACTACGCCATGTAGTTCAGTGACAGCCACCGACGTGTAGGAGGAATATAGCTCCTCCATATTCAGCGTCAAAGAATAAGTTAAGGAAATTCTGACTTTCATCAGACCAGACTGAGATGGGTAGGACATGTTACAAGGACAGAAGATGAAGAGATTATAAAAAGAATAATGCTTGTAAAACCGTAAGGGAAAAGGAAGATAGGTAGACCAAGAATGACATGGACGGTGTGAAGGATTTGAGGAACTTGGACGTAGTTAACTGGAAAACAAAGGCACAAGAACGGGATGGCTGCAGAAAGTTTTCAGGGAAGGCAAAGACCCACAAAGGGTTGTAGTGCCAATAATAATAATAATACGGCAACTTGCCCCAAAGATAGAATTATCCTGTTGAGGGGCAGCTGTTCATAGTACGAGTCTTCCACATTTATCGCGAAATTAGAACGCAACAGTAGTAGACAATGGATTCAAATATTATTCATTCGACAGGCTAAGCAGATTTATACCACATCTTCGAGCGAACAAGCTGGGGTACTAGTAAGGCTCTAGACTCGACAGGTTTTCTTCAGTACCTCCAATGGAACGTTGGGAGTCCATTAAAGTAAACCTACACCTAAAGCGGCCTCCGTAGTCTAGAGGTAACGTTCCCACCTCATGACTCGTAGTACGCGGGTTCAAATACCGGGTGGAGGTCGTCGAATTTTTAAGGGCGGAAAAATTCAGGGAACAAGTCCTCCGGGAGGGACTTTAAGCCGTGGGTCCCGTGTCGTAGCTTTACGGCACGTAAAAGAACCTCATATCTCCAAAGGAGGTCACTGAGCCAAATTACGGACGTTTCCCGCCCAACAGCAGTCTCTAATACCTCCGGTAGATGGGGGAAGCATTATAGATACCTCTCAGCTAGTAGAGCCGGTCTCGCTGGCTGGGCGGGACTGATGGTAAGCACCAGTACCGGTAGGATATAGAGACTGGTAGAATATCATAGAGGGAAGCACAATGGACCAAGACAGGTCTAAGTGCATGGGGAAACCCACCCTCTCCAATAACTAACTAACTAA